CCCCGCCCCCCGCCCCGCTCCCCCGGCCCGGCACTTCCTATGAACCTCTTCGTTGAGGCCGATCACGGTGACACCTCCGCCCGTCACCTTTTCTTTGGTTCCAAGCTTCAGCCCATGCACATGCAGCTGGCAGCAGATAGTGACTGGATGGTCCTCCACGTGGTCTGGGCATCCATGAAGGAGACCGACTCGTAGCGGTCGGGCCGACAGCACGGGTGGCTGCTGACTTTTCGGCGAGGCAGTGACCCATTTTCAAGCAGTGCTTTCAGTGCCAGGTCGTAGGTCGTTCTGGAGGACTGACATGAGCCCACGCAGAACTTAAAGAGAACAATCTCGTCTGAGTCAAAGCCCAGTCCCAGGTCCCTGACCTTCATCTCCCTCTTCTCCACGCGGCAGTCCACGCTGCTCTGCTTGGGCTGCCTGCTTCTACCTTTACCCTTTTTATCTCTTCTTCCCGTCTCTTCCTCTTCCGCCTTATCTTTTCTCTTCCTCTTCTTCTTTTTCTTCTGCGTTCCTTGCAGCTGAGGCTCCGTGGGGTCAGAGGAGCGAGGAGAACGCCCTGCCCAGCGACTGCTGGGATGATCATCCACTTCATCCATCACGAAGGGATCTAAGAGGTGGAGGAAAGAGAAGCGATAAAAAAAAAAAAGCATTTATTCAGAGTGATTATTAGAGGCCGTCACCAGCACACTTCCTTCGACCTAATATAAACGATACCCTTTTAAATCACACACATACAGTAAAGGTAGTATATACTGGTGACAGAGATGCAGAGCAGATCCCCACTCTCCGACGCGTCTTTCCAGTGTAAAGCTGCTGGACAGAGCAGATGTGCCGTAAATTAGTCTTTCATAAAAGCTTCTGTACCGTAGAGAGCGTGCCAAGTGGAATAAGGGTCGCTGTCATCTTCCTGCTCCTCATCCTCCACCACCTCTGGCAGAGCAACAGGAAGCTCTAGCTCCTCCTGGCCCGTCAACAGACCAACCGCCTGGCCTGAGTCTGATCCCACAGCAGCAGCAGCAGCAGCAGCAGAGCCTGCTCTCATATGAGCGCCGTCCACTAGAGGCAGCAGAGAGAGGAAGACCCAGAGCAGCACCTATAGACAGACAGGACCAATGAGCTGAGAGGTTTTTTTTTCTACAGTTCCAGGATGGTCTTCTTTTAAGTTGTTAAAGTAAAAGTCATTACATGTTAACCATAGTTGACAGTTTATAACACATGTGTCAAACTCAGGCCCGGGGGCCAAATCTGGCCCGCTGTTTAATTATATTTGGCCTGTGAGTTCGTCCCAGTTTTTAAATTTGGCCCCCTTTGAATTTAAGTTTGATAGCCCTGGTTTAGAAAAAAAAAATGACCCAAACCACTTCTTTAAATCCTTTCTTTTACCACAGAACAAGCTTCATTCAAAAACTGACAACGTAGTAGTAAAAAGTTTGGGGCTGGAAACAAAGGGATGGATCTCATTAACTATTTATTCCCACACATCTCCTGGTTCATAACAGTGTGAACAGGGGAAATGAAAAATGACCAGGCTGGAAGTTATTTGCACGGAGGGTGATTTCATATGAACGGATGGTAAATAAGGCGAGGGAGAGCTGGAGAGTGATGAGAGCAGAAGGAGAAGATAGGAGGAGGAGGAAAGTTTGACAGTATTCCTTTGGCAGGCACCACTGTCTCTGACAAACCTTGGCTTTTGCTGACATTACAGAGGTAATCTCACGTCTATCCTTCCTCCAAACTCTCCATCTGGTGCCACCTGGAGGAGAGAGAGAGGGAGAGAGGAATGTAAGAACAAGAACAAGCTTTCACTGTGTCAACTTCTCCCTCTCTGGTACTCCATTCAGAGAGGTAACATAAACTAAAGGTACAACATGCGGGTGTTATCGGGTCTATACATTCACAATCGTCCGCTTACAGTAAAAAAAAACAAAAACAAAACCCACCAACACGGGCCCCTGAAAAAGCCAACGTGTCACATAAATCACGTCTTCAAGGCGCGAGGTTGCAGCTCCAGTAGAAAGCCAGTGTTTGCTGCCACAGAGTGTGGCCGTCGTTGGCTTGTCGATGCAAACGGCCTCAGTTCAGCAACAAAAGGGCAGCATCTGTGATGTACTTGTCAAAGGCATTCTTCAAGGTCATTCCAGTGGCAGAGGTACAAGCAGGGGGAACCAGGCATGGAGAGAGCACTTCACGGAGGTCCCAGGCACAAAACACAACAGAGATGCAGGCCAGGTGATAAGAAGTGTCAGGGATGCAGCTGTTTATATATAGTACGTGCAGTGTGGAGGACCGTGCCGCCTCCGCCGCGCCCTCTGTGTCAGGCCGTCAGGTTTTCTAAGGTTTTCCAACTTTTTTTTATTAATGAATAAACAACTACATTTTCAATTTCGTGTGGAATAAACTGTGTTCCTAATTTAGATTCTTTCATTTGTGATTGGAATAAGTGTATTTATGCATCTATCAGACACTGAGGTAATAATCTTACAGAAATAAAGACTTCTGTAAACAGGCTTGGAACTATATTTTTCTACATCCCTGACACATTAAATACCTTTAGCCTTTTTATATCCTGATTTTCCAGATGCCTGTGATAAACTGTCAGGTTGAAGGCTATAACCATGTCTTTAACAGGTGTTTCCTTTAAACGAAGAAGTGAGGCTTAGAATCTCTCATTTAAAACAATATGTCAACTGTGGCACTTTTGTAGCTTAGCTTCACGAGTGAAGCTACTCAGATTACAACACTGTCTGACTTTACTACACCAATAAAACACACACTGATGAAGGAAACATGTTACCACAAAATTACTACAAAATACAAACCATGAATATAATAATGAACATCATAGAAATCCTTGTTAGAAGTACTGAGCTCTGCTGATACTCAGACCACTGTGTACAGCAGTATTGTTTGCTGCCCTGAATACAACATGGACATTCAAAGAGGAGGTCAATGTTTTGTTATGATAGTGACATTATTAAAGATTATGTGATTTTAATAAATGTTAATGTAATGTAATTTGTTTTTAATTGTGTCCTCAGGAGAATCAATGTATTCAAATGGATTTGGATATCTGTCAAAGTTCAGATGTGAGAGTACAGATCCAAGGTCCTCTCTGAAGAGAAGAAATGAAAACTTTTGCTGAGAATTCTTGGTTATTGCATTGGAATTCCCTCCTGCAAAGTCCTGCATAGGTCAATTCAGTGCAAAAATTCAACTTTCCTCTTGTGGCTTTTGTTAGAAATTCATCTTTGTGTTTGCTCAGGGGTTTCCGCCCTCCTTTGATTCCCTCCTACACTGCTCCTTTCTCGTAAACTACTTTGCAACCTGTAATCTGTGAAACGAGCCTGCGTCTGAAGATCCCTCCAACATCTACCATCTCTAAGAAGCTTAGCATGACCCTGGCACTGAACTGCAGCAACGCTTCACGACCACAGTCTTGTATTCAAGCGTGTTGGGCTCATAGATCTGCACGATATGTTGTCATGCCATGTTTATTTAAGAGTCCAAAACAATCTTGGCAGTTCTGCCTCTGCACCGAGATGGAAGACTGACGGATCATGATAAGACCTGCTGATGCACTTATGCACTCCTGCATGCCTCAGCTGTAGAGATCAGGTCCAGGCTAAGTGAAGTTACAGACACCGAGGGGTTGCGGGAGGATGGAGGGGACGAGGAGAGACGCGGCGAGTGTAATTCAGATGGACAGACGGAGGACACGCCGCTGCTGCAACCTAAAACCAAACTCTGACTCCTCGGCTTCCCTTCGACTTTGAACTGATTTAGGACCTAATGGTCCTGTGAGGAGGGACGGGGGTCTACAGATCCTCTCTGGGTCTCAGGAGAGGTGCCATTCTGAGTCACTAATGCCACAGCTGTGAGTGTTTAGCCCCTCGTAGATTAGTGAGCGGGGAGTCCACATGAGCCTGTCTGCTGCTTCATTTTAACTCTGTGGAGCTGTTTACAGCTCGCTGCCTGCAGCCCTTTCAGGGGGATGAGGTGTGCTGAGGCAGTGAAGGGTGGAGACGGCATTAAAGCAAGAAGAAAGCATATGGGCTGACATGAGTTTACCAATGGTGTGTGTATCTACTGTTTCACATCTAACGCTGCGTGTGTGTACATTTCGAGGTATGTTTAGACAGGTGAGCATGTGTTTGTTCCCCGTGCGGCTGATTAAAGGTTTGTCCGTCAGGTTGCATATCTGCAGCGGGGAGAAGCACAGTTGTTGTCACCTTCCATTTACATTGGTCGTCCACACTGAGGTAGGTGGACACATCGCCACTGAAGTTCAAAGAGATCAGGAGTTTAACGTTTTTTTGCTACTACATTTATGTACAAAGCTCTTACCCTTCTGATGTCCTAGATTATGATGTTACTAATGTGTTAGTGAGTTACATATATGTACTGATGTACAGTATGTCAGTTCAGACTTATGGCAAGACCCTAGGAACGGTCTAAGGCAACGCAAACAACCCAACACTGTCTGTGATAAAAAGCAGAACTGTCCTTTTCTAAACCCAATATAAAATAGAACAATGGCACTCCAGTTGTTTGTGCTGCGTTGCCAGATCTGGACCTTTATCTGAAGTGTTAGAGCTTACAGGTCTGTTGAACATTTGGCCACGAGCCTCTAAACTTCACTTTTAAACTCTGTTGCCTTTTGCCAAAGCAGTAACAACTGCTGTGTCTGCAAGAACACATAAATCACACAATAATCCCCTCACTTGTTGCTTTTAAATACTCTATTAAGTCTCCAAGAGGATCGAGGCCACGTTCACATGAATGTGTTTGTAATTAGTGCCTCTACTGTATACTATTACACCCTCATACCTGAGCCGTGCCCGTGGAGCCTCCATAAACCTCTCACCAGGTTAAATAAAAACGAATTTCCCAGCTCTCCTGTTGTTTCCTGTCTCTCACTAACTACCAGATCTGTCTGATAATGACCATCAATTAGAAACGCGCTGCGCCGAAACGTTCTGACCTGCAGCTTTAACCTGTCACTAACACGCCGTCTGATTGCACAAACAGGGAGAAAAGCCCGGGTACAGTAAATCACCGCCGGCTCAATAAAAGACACCTGCAGTGTAAGAGGAGATGCTGGAGAGAGAAAATCAGAACGCCAGGAGAGTGTTCTGATCACTACCAGACACCGAGGAATCAGTGGAGGTCCAGCGAAACAAGGCACGTCGGTATGTGCCGTACATGCGTGCGCCCCAGAGCTCTGCATATATACATGCTGAGCAGTGTGACAACAGCCTTTATATCTCTGCTTTCATCTCGCTGGTGGCGTCCTGTTGACAGAGAGTGATATTGCCTTGAAGGGGCTTCAAGGCCCTGAGACTGGGTGTTAACACTCTGACAGGTGGGATCTTTTTACCTGAGTCTTGGAAAGGTCTACGAGGTCAACTTGGTGGAGCAGACCTACGGAAAGAACCACCAACTCAAACCCTTTGATATATATACACACTGTGTAGATTTTTATCTTTTTCTTGTTGTTCTTAGTGATCGGAATGTGGTTTTGAGGTGCGAGAAAGAACCTCAGCTCAAAGTCATCAATCATTAAAACCAGACGATGGTGAGCTGAGATTCACACAGAAACTTGGAGGTTTGATATGATGACAAAAATCCATTGTAATTAATGAATCATTAATAACTACATTTTAATCAAATAGAAATATTTCTTTAGTGCAATTTTTATATCATTTGATGTCAAAAACAACATCAATATTTTCCTGTGTTTCATTCACACTTTGGTGCAAATTTATATTTAGTGCCAACTGTGAACTCTGCTATCTGGTCTACTGTGGGCTGTCGCTGCGACCCGTGGCTGCCAGCAGCGTGCTCTTCACTGGGACAGTACCATGGGCTTTAAGAGCTGCAGCGATAAGAAAACTCTTTGTTGCACAACTTGAACACAATCATGCTCTTATCCAAGAGCTGCCTTTGGGAACTGGGATAACAACATGCCCATGAGCGGGCAACAAGGTCTCGTCTTTCATCTCTCTTCTCTGCTGCCACTCCATGCATTCTGTACATCCCCCTGGTGGCTGGCATATTGATTACATGTGCATCACCGCCACCTATTGGACTGAAGTGATTAATTGATCGACATAGTTGTTGATCAGTTAATCACTTTGAGACGTGTACACCCTGCCTTCATACAAACAACCAATCACAGTCATACCTGTAGTTATGTTACACCGTCTGTACCTGTATCTGCCAGACTACAGGTCGACACACACACTGGCTGAACAGACACACACACTGCAGAAAGACAGTGGCTTGCAGGATCTTCCTGCTGTGAGGCATGAGTTCTAATAATATGACGAGGTTAGACTGATATCCAGAGATCTGCCACAACTTCCAACAGTTACAGTACTAAAAACCCACACACCACAAAAACTAATTTGGCGATTGTGTAGTGTCATTGAGAAAAACAACCCAAATCAACACCTGGAATGGCACACGGCATTCTTAATTTCTGACTTGTCAAACCAGTGTAAACAGACCTGGTTTGATGATTGATGTCACATTATATCAGTTTCTTTGTATTATGCAACAAAGAGAAAGAAAATATCTTTCACTGTACTCTGAGTGGGTTTAGATCAATAAAAAAACATGATAGTGCATGGCAACATTGAAATCGTGGACGTGTTTATAGCACCCCCTGCAGGGGAGGAACGGTACATACTTATCTCTTCACTTGACGCTTTAAAAAAATGTAGCCTGTTTTATCTTCTTCACTCCCTTTCT